GTCTATATCATATTCTCTTCCTTCCTATTAACAAGTTTACAGAATTCAAATTTTTTACTCCCCTCCCGAACCACAAGTAAAATTAAAATTGGAATAACTAGACACAAAACCAAAAGCGCCTAAATTCAATTGTAGTAAAAAAATAAGTCAAATCTATACTTCGCTCATCATCGAAGTTTCTAACGTTAGTTCTAGCTCGAGTAGCGGATCTCGATTACGGGACTGAAGAAGCACAGTGTCAAGATCACAAAGTAACCAGATCCGTCGGATCGATATAAATCACACTAATCATTTTCATTTAATAAAGAAAACTTAATCGAGATTGAAGCACCGCCAATAATTCCTAGTAACATCGATTTATATATATATAGCGATAGAGAGAGAGGACGCAAAATACGGTGAGAGGTGAAGAAGATGAACAATTAAAGAGATGAAGAAAGAGAAGAGACCTTGAGGCCATCGACGGAGAGAAGACCGCTGAGGATGCATTCCTTAAGACCAGTCCCCAACACTATCACATCATACTCTTCATCCATGGTTGGACCTGCTCTGAAGACACGGAGACAGAGAGGTAAGCGAGGGTTTTGAGGGGCTTAGGTCGGGTCAATGAACAGGGAGAGAGAGAGAGAGAGAGAGGGCCTTAATAACAATGATGAGAGACAGAAGAAAGAGAATGAGATACTTAGTTTGTAAAATGGGCAATTTAAATGCCTAAAGAAACATATTTGTTTAATTGAAAAATACAATTATTCCTCTGAAAAATGTATAAAATAAAATAAAATAAAATTTCTTTTTTATTTTTTTTAATTATGATTTACATATTAAATCTATAATTAAATTAAATTTTATATTTTCAAACTAACAAAAAAAAATATGTGCATTGCATTAAATGATATACAAAACTAACTTATAAATAATGCTAATTTTTAAATTTTTAAATATAATTCTTAGATTTCAAAATAAATATATGCTCGTGATATTAATACCAAGTTTTAATAAACAAAAATAAAATATTAAATATTTTACGAGCATATATTATATTTTATAAATATAATTATACATATTAAATTTTATTATCATCGTAATTTCAACAAATCTATAATATAATTAAAAGTATAGTGTTATAGTTAAATGTACTTTAGAAAGGTTAATTAAATTAAAAAAATAAATAAAAAGTACTTAAAAAAGCTGCAAAAGGAAACGTATGAAATTAATTTTTATTTATTTATTGATAATTTGAAATATTATTTTATTTGAAAAGCAAATAAAATAATCCAATTATCGATGAAATAACCGGTTGACGAATTTGGTTGGTCTTGGGCTGCATTGGGGTTTGTATAAGATTTAGTCTGACGGTTCAGTCCGGTTCAAGATAATTATTTGTTGGGCTCTGACTATTTTTGGCCTATGAAAATCTGGGATTGTGTTCTTGAGTGAGCATCATCCGGTTCAGACCGGACCAGCTAGTTTAGTTCGGATTGACCGCACCAAGTCATAGTTTGGCAAATCGAAGAATTCAAATTAAACCGATCTGGTCTCGATTCCCACCGATAAACAAAAATAATAATAATTATAACAAAATATTTGTTTAATTTTTTTAATATTTCTATTTTTTTATCTAATTAATTGTACTAATTATATAATATTAAATAATTTATGTATTTATGAATTATTATTAATTTTTTATTAATTTTTTTATTAAAAGTAATAATAAACTTAATCTATCCGGTCGATATTGAAATTGAATTAGACAGAATCTAATACTGTTCAATTTTTAATATTAAAATTAAATTTTTTTTGCTCTCAATCCAGTCATAATCCAATTCGATTTTAAATCGTTTGCGCACTCTTTATAATTAATTAAGTGTATAAAATCGAACTTGAAAAAAAAAATTGCAATAAATCACGGTAATTGATCAAAACCATAATTTCATTAAATTTAAATTATTTAAAATACTTGAATAAATATATCCATTTAAATTTTAAAATGTAATAAATGATGTACTATATTATAAGTATACTAATTTGAGATTAAAATATTTATCGGATAAAATTAAGTTTAAAATTATTTCATAACAATTGAATATTTGACTTTGTTCCATTTTAACATTAAACTTGACATGAATATATTACTTTTATATATTATACTATAAAAATAATTTTTAAAAAATAAATATAATAATATAATCACAATAAATAATACCGATTATGTTATATTATGCTATAATTAATAGATATATCTTTAATAAAAATATAATTAATATTACAGATAAATGATATAGATTATATTATGCTATAATTAATAGATATGTTTTTAATAAAAATATAATTAATAATATAAATAAATGACAGAGAATTATTCGAGACATAAATTAATATTTTTTGTAACAAATTATTTTTATTTTTATTATTACAATTATATTATAAAATATATATATTAATTATTCGGTGGACACTTATTTCATATTTTACGATAATGTAGGTTCGAATTATAAATTACTCGTGACATATATGGTACCTATTAAATTGTGTTATATGTGTTTTCATTATGAGTTTATATTATTATGTAGTGTATACATTATGTTTTATATTATTATATTATTGTATTTTTAAATAGCAATTATTATTTTTTTTTAATGGAAGATGATGAATGCATCATACTTTT